TCACTATTCATAGGAGCCAAAAGGTGAACATATCCATCAATGGATGAATGAATAATCTACACTAAAAAAAGAGAAACATGAAAATTACCATCACTCCACTACACTACCAGCCCAACAGAGTATGAAAATTAAACTGAAAACATGGTGGCAGCTCAGCCCCTCCCCCCCTTTGCCGCCACTTGTGGGGGTCAGAGAAGTGGGGTGCCAGCGCCTGAAGCTAGCTGTAGCCCTGTAGACAAAGAAGCCACCTGCCCTGTGAACGCAGGCCACAGGCAGCAGCAGAAGCATCACATCTGCCTGCCCCACATCCTGAGGGAGACGGAGAAACTGGCCCCTAGAGCCTGAGGCTGGGTGCAGTCTGAGAGATGAAGACGCCACCTGCCCCATGATCCCAGGCCATAGCCAGCTGGAGAAGTAGCCCACACTGCATCCCAGGCAAGACAGAGAAGCCGCCCATCCCATGGTCCTGGGCATCAGCACTTGTGGCTACAGCCCAGGCAAAGTCACCTGCCCACCATCCCCTGCGACTGCAGCCAGCCTGGGTGCCTATGGCAGACCAGAGGGAGGGAAGCCTGGATCCCGGATTCGGGGCCCAGGCTGAGGTGGTTAGGGGCAATCAAGCCAGCAGGGGAGCAGTTAGGGACAATCAGGTGGGTAGGCAGAATTAAGGGCAATCAGGCAGGCAGGTGAGCAGATAGGAGCCAGCAGTTCTGGATTGTGAGAGGGATGTCCAACTGCTGGTTATCCTGAGGGGTCCCAGATTGGAGAGGGTGCAGGCCGAGCAAGGGACTTCCCATCCCCCATGCACGAATTTTGTGCACCAGGCCACTAGTTAAAAATATGACATTCATACAATGGAATATTATTTGTGCATATAAAGGAGTAAAGTACTAATACATGCTACAATGTAAATGAACCTTGAAAATGTTATGCTAAGTTACAGAAACCAGAAACAAAGTGTCACGTGCTATTATATGAATCATTTATATGAAGTATCCAAAATAGGTAAATTCATAGAAAGTAAAAACATACTGGTGGTTGCCAGGGGCTGAGGATAGGGAATAACTGCTTAATGGGTACAGAGCATCCTTTATGGGTGATGAAAATGTTTTGGAACCTAGACAGAATTGGTGGCTGCATAACATTGTGAATATACTAAATTTCATCAAATGTATACTTAAACCGGTTAATTTTATGTTATGTAAATTTCACCTTAATAAAAAATTATTTAAATTTAAGCTGTAGATACTACTAGTATAATTTTCTTTACTTTTCAGAAGTGGAATTAGCCAGATTACACAACTAATAAGTGGCACAGGCAGCATTTATCCCAGGTAATCAAGCACCAGTGTCCATATTTTTAAGTATTTATGTTATACTATTTTTTTATGCTCCAAAAGACTAAAAGCATATGAGAAGAGTCTGGAACTCATCAGAGAAATAAAAATGAACACTCAGCTATCATTTTACACGCATTATAATGGCAAAATTAGAAAGCTGAATAATATCAAGTGTTTGTGAGCTTGTGGTATCTAAGAACCCTAGGGCATTGCTGGTGGAAGTAAGTTCTGAATCAGACATTCTGTGAAGTTATCTGGTAGTGTCCCCTAAAAGTAGCACAGATGTATGAGATGTTCACTGCAGTACTGTGATTGGTGATGAAGAGTTGTAGGCAATCTAGGTATCCATCATTGGGATAAATGGAGAAGCAAAGAGTAGTGGCTCTCCATGGGATATTGTAGTGCAGTTAAAGTAGTAAATGTGATGTACACATGGATACTAGAAAAGGTCTTCATAATATAGTCTTGAGATTAAAAAGTAAGATATAAGCTATAGGGAGAACTAATCATGGAAAGACCATGTTAGAATTGGATTTAATTTTGATTCTTTCTTTTTAAAAAAATAATAAATCTTTATTGTTCAGATTATTACAGGTGTTCCTCTTTCTCCCCTCTTCCCCCATACCTCCCCTTCACCTGATTCCCAACTCCACCCCATGCCATTACCCCTGCCCCTGTCTTCATCCATAGGTGTAAGATTTTTGTCCAATCCTTTCCCTCACCCCTCAGACTCCCTTCCCCCTGAGAATTGTTAATCCAATCCCTTTCTGTGTCCCTGATTCTATTATGTTCACCAGTCCATTGATTTTTTCCTTATGGCAACAGTGAGGCTACTGTCTGGACTCTACCTATTCCCTGGGCTCTTAGATTAAAATCATGCCTAACTGCAAATAATGAAGAAGAAAGCTAAAAACAAATAATAATAATAATTATTTTTTAAAAGCAGCCTCTCACAACTAATAAGCAACTTATCACTTGTGTCTAAGCTAATTCCAAGCTCCTTACCCTGCCACCCTCACATGAAAGAGTGGTTATTTCTTCAACAGATACACACACCTCTTAGTAGAAGCTGGCTGAGAACATCCTGGAATTTCAAATTTCCCAATTTCAAAGATGCAGCAAAAACAGTGTACATATAGACGAAGGTCTATATACAACTGGTGCTAAAACTGCATAGCCTAGAGCACATGTGTCAAACACAAGGCCCACGGGTCAAATCCGTCCCGCCAGGCCTTGCAATGTGGCCCGCACCACGCTGTCATCACTGCACTCCGCTGCGTTTCCATCACAATGACAGTTTATGACTGTTCAGTAAACAATTCGGCCCGCGATTTAGGCTGGATTTTAGATTTTGGCCCCTTCTCTGATTGAGTTCGACACCCCTAGCCTAGAGTTTAGAAGTATTGAAAGACACAATCTTTCCATCCCATTTAGCCACTGAGAACTTAATAGTCTTAAACAACAGTTTTGCATTTTGGGAAGTGAATTATTCCTAATATATGGTGACAGGAGAAGATTTGACTTTGGGTGGTGGGCACATGGTACAATATATAAACCTTTTAACATAGAAACCCACACCTGAAATCTATATGATCATGTTGACCAATGTCACCCCAATACATTGAATTTTTTAAAAAAGGAAAAGAGCCTGAGTGTTTGGCTCAGCGGATAGAGCGTTGGCCTGCAGACTGAAGGGTCCAGGTTCGATTCTGGTCAAGGGCATGTCCCTTGGTTGTGGGCACATCCTCAGTGGGGGGTGTGCAGGAGGCAGCTGATTAGTGTTTCTCTCTCATTGATATTTCTAGCTCTCTATCCCTCTCCCTTCCTCATTGTAAAAACCAATAAAATATATTTTTCAAAAATAAAAAAAGGAAAAGAAAATTATACTGGCTTCAGGAAGTACTGAAAACTGTCTTGGAAAATTTTTCTTGTACAACCAGTGGTCAAACATGCTACATGAGTGGTAAACCTACAAATGTACCCACCCTGCTCTGACCACCTCTGGATAATCCTGAGCTGTACTTCCCCTCTTGCCGCCACAGCCACCTGACCACCTTTCTTCTCCTCCACCACCACCTGCACCCTCTCCACCCCCTTCTCTGTCTCTACTCCACCACCAGTAGCATCTTTGCTGGTCAGAAAATCCGATCTCACGAAAGCACTATAGGCTGAACCATAAAAAAGGTGAACCCATGCAGATAACAAAGATCTACTGACTGTGAAATTAAAGAAAACATGGAGTTTGATGAAAGGGTGAAGCTTCTACCATCACCAAAGACACAGAATCCACTAGTTACTGTCTCTGACCTGCACTGTGTTACCCTGAAGCCCAGGTCCAAAATGTTATCAACTTGAGTTACAAATGTCTTAATTATTCCTCTAAGAGTCAAATTGACCTGTGGAAGCTACTTAGAAAAGTCTATGTAGAGAGGAGGCCAGATGGGACCCCAATTACCAGTAAAGGAAATACGGAAACAGGAATTACAATATATTGATCTCACAAATGCTGTTTAAAGCCTCTTTTGCCTCCCCAGTTAGCTTCTCCATTTTCTCTGCTCCCTTCCAAGTGCTCAATGTATGCCATTAGCATTTGCCAGATTGATTTTAATATAAAATCATGTTTTAATTTTAATTTATATTTTTAAATTATATTTATTTATCTTGATGTCTGCTTCTGGCTTTTACCCACTTCTCTACTGAAGGAGCATCTCTTCAACTTTTTATTCCTAGAATAGCACATGGTAGATGCTCAGCAAATGCTGTTAAATAAGAGAATATTTAATTAGACTGAAGGAATTACATAGCTTATAGTAGAAAATAAATTCTACAACTTTTTAAAAAGGTAGTTTTAAAAAATACAAGAAATTTTCAAGTACACAGGCAAAAATATTACAAACATTTCTAAGTAGAAATTTTCTATAGCCTGTTGTAATAAATGGAGATTATTTTCAAACAAATAATGTCTTTAAAAATAGTTTCTTTTCATTTGAATAGAGTATGCATCATTTCTAAAATTTGTTTTACATTATGCTTTTCTCTAGCAAAACTTAGGCTCACAAATTATAAGAATTAGACATATTCTGAATCAGTAAAGAACAAATTAATCATAATGGTATTACTACCACTGCTGGTTACCATTTAGTGGAAACATGTTGAATAAAATAACAGACTAATATTCTTTTATAAAAATGGAGACATTTGTTCAACTCTATCGCTGCTTTATTCCACTGAGCTGTACCTCCCATCAGCACCTTACCAATCTTAGCACTATTACTCTGAACTCTTTTTATTTAGATGATTCACGGCATTTTACCAGGCAATTTTGTTCACAGGTGTTATGTTAATATCATTTGTCATTTGCTGAACACTTGAGCTTAGGTCTGGTACTGTGTGAGTGTGCGCCTAGTTACTATTTCTGCTCTCAAAAAGATAACAGTCCCATTGCAGAAATAAGATGCAAACACACAAAGTAACTGGGAAATAACTCGAGGCACTGTCAGTGGACAGTGTCCGTTTCTGTGGCACAGGTGTTACCTGGAATGGAAGGTGCGGGTGGTCAGGGAAGGCCGCAGAGAAGGCACTCGATTGGGGCTTGGAAGTACAGGGAGGATGTGAGCTCCGGGGAAGAGGGCCAAGGCACCTGCCTGGGGCACAGCCCACCTGAGATTTTCTCCATCTCTTCCAGGATCTTTTCCAAGTCTTTATTCAGGTCTGACAGCATCCTCAGCATGTTGTCGCAGTTTCTTTCCCCAGGGTCAGAGTCAGCCATCTAGGCCGTGCACAGAAAGAAGACGCAGGAGACAGACTGGGGTGAGGTGAGGAGACGGGGTGAGGGGTGAGGGGTGAGGGGTGAGGGGTGAGGGTTGAGGAGACGGGGTGAGGGGTCAAATGAGACTGGGGTGAGAGGTGAGGGGTCAAATGAGACTGGGGTGAAAGGTGAGGAGACTGTGGTGACGGGACTGGGGTGACGGGTCGGGTGAGGAGACCGGATGAGGGCCGCGGAGGGGAGGGGTGAGGGCTCCTTGAAGCGGGGGCACAGCCGGGGTTCGGGGAGTGGCCGGCACCAGGACGTCAGAACCACTCACCTCCTGCTCCGCCAGGGCGCGGCTCTGTCAGCTACACCGCCCTCGCCTGCGCCAGGGGCCTGAGGAGGCGCTTCCGGAAGACACGCCCCTTTCCGTTACCAGGCCCCGCCCCTCGGAGCTAGCCTCTTGTTCTCATTGGCTAATATTCTGGAGAGGAAGGGACGGAGCCTCTAGCACATGGCTGCGCCTACCAGGCTGCGCCTGAGTTTCAGCCTCGAGGTCTCATTGGCTGTGTCCAGAGCAGAAGGGGCGGGGCCACCGGAGGCTGGTCCCTCAGGCACGTGAGTCTTGCAGGCTTTGGAGGAGGAGGGGCTAAGGTGGGGGAGGGGAGAGGGGCAAGGAGAGGGCGCTTCCGGTCCTGACAGCTGTGTTCCTCCTCTTGGCTCTTTGAGGGTGAGATCGTGCGCGGCCCTGTTAGCTTGACCACCGTGTCCAGGACAGCCCTTGGCACAGCAGGCGCTGATAAACATTTGTGGAATGAATTGCTGGTGCCTGAGTATTTACAGTCTTCACATCTACCTAGCGTCATTGTTGCATCTGTCTTAACAGATGAGGAAGCTGGGGCTCAGGGAGATGAGGCGGGCAGGACTCAAGTACTACCGTGTTTCTCCGAAAATAAGACATCCTCTGAAAATAATACCTACTTACAGGTTTCCTTCTGAGTGAAATATAAGGCATCCCCCCGAAAATAAGGCCCCCCCTAGGCTAAACATGAAAGATTTGGTCCACTGATTCTGAAAGAAATGGAATCACAAGAAATTCACCAGGAAATTCAGGAATTGGATTGTTATGATGATGTTCCAGAAGATGATGACATGATTGTCATTGAATAAATGAGTAAATTCTTGATACTGTAGGATTCACAGTTTGTCTGGTTTGTGTTGACAACTACCGTACTACCGTATTGTATACAGGTAATAAATTTCCTTTATTTTCATTTAACAATAAATGTGTACCATATTCTTCTTCATGGAAAAATAACACATCCCCTGAAAATAAGACCTAGCGCATCTTTGGGAGTAAAAATTAATATAAGATACTGTCTTATTTTCGGGAAAACAGGGTAGTACAAGCAGCTGAGAGTGCAAACATTGCTTTCGAACCGTGAGGAGCCGCTGGCCTCCAGGTAGTAGGAGTACAAATCATCGAGCAGGGACGGGGAGAGAGGTGCTCCACCCTTCGAGAGGCTGCGCATAAAGCTGTGCTGGGGAGGAGGCCAGAGAGACCGCTCAGGCCTCTGTAAGCCAGTCCAAGAAGCTGTCTCTAGATGGGATGGGCACCTTAGAAGGGTGGTAGGCGGAGCAGTGACCTGGTGAAGAGGCCTCTCTGGCTGCTGGAGGGAGGGTTGTTGTGATGTTCGGATGAGTAATAATGGAGATGTGGGCAGGGCAGGTGGAGGTCACAGCGGAAGGAACTAAAGCCATTTGTACACTTGACGGTTTGTAATGTGGCAAGTTCAGAAGGAAGGAAGGAATTGGTTACTGGTTAGAGCGTGATGTCACTGGCTGAGATGGGGAAGTGTGGGAGAGAAGCCCATTTGGAAGATTATTAACCTTGTAAACAGCTTGTGTTTGAAATTCCTAAAGTGGAACCCACTGAGTTTTCTCTCAGGAATTCCGATCCTTAGCAGACTGATTGCACAGCAGAAAAAACAACTAGAGTTGAGCCAGATCGCCTGGGCACAGAATGAGTCCTTGCCTATCTAGTGAGGAGTCTGCTGCCTGGCCATACACCCTCCCCAAGCTGCCACCTTCCTGTCCCTTCCCACCTGTGAGCCACCCTGCATACATCCTTCACTCTGCCATTTGCTTAGACTGCCCAGAAAAACATGAATCAGGAATACCACTAATGGCAATGAAGGCGGCTTCAGGAACAGTAGTTTGCCAGGCTGAGGAAGGGCACAGGGTCCCAGGCAGAAGCTTCAGGGGAGGAAAGGCCGACTTCAGGGAATGGAGGGTATTGGGGCTCAGGGTTCTTGGGGAGACACAGAGATCAGTTGGGCTGGAATGTGAGGGGCCTGGAGTGTCCTGCCCAGCAGAGGGAAGTGGACTGTTTCAAGCACCCTGTAGGACCCAGGCCCAGAGTGGGCTCTCAGGGAGCCCAGGGATGCCAGTCTGGTCTGCCCATGCCTTTGTGCTTCTGAAACTGGTAACTGTCCACCCAGTGTTTCCTTTATATCCCAGGCACACAGCTAGACTGCATTTCCCCGCCTCCCTTGCAATGTGAGTCCTGGTTAGAGGGATGTAAATGGAAGGGCTTTGGGTCACACAGGCCAGGTCCATAAAAGCCTCCATGAGGGACCCTCTATCTTGCCCCATGTATCCTCTAGGTTAGGGGTGTTGAACTCAATCAGAGAAGGGGCCAAAATCTAAAATCCAGCCTAAATCGCGGGCCGAATGGTTTACTGAACAGTCATAAACTGTCATTGTGATGGAAATGCAGCAGAGTGCAGTGATGACAGCGCGGTGCGGGCCACATTGCAAGGCCTGGCGGGACGGATTTGGCCCGCGGGCCTTGTGTTTGACACATGTGCTCTAGGTTGAGCCCAAGGCAACTTGGGAGTGACCTGAAGAAATCAGGGAGACCTCTGTCAGCAAATGCCTTTGAATAATGTCTGGAACAGAGTCTGTCTCAGCCATCTGAACAGGAATTAAACTGCTATTGAGATTTCAGGGTGTATCTGTTGTGACTAACCTTAACTAGTACAGATCTGCAAAACCATGGGGCGCAAGGAGCTTGTTTGGGTCTGACGGGTGGTCACCAGAGGTTTGTACCCTGGTTGTGCACAGTGGTTTACCTTATTTTAACTAAGAACAGGTCAGATAATGTTGGCTGAATTTCAACATTAATGAAAAGCCAGCTGATAAAAACTCTGTTCACTGCTGCTCTCCCAGGGCTGGGCAAGCTGATGTGCCCAGAGCCCGCCCAAATGGACACTTCCCCAGGATAGGTTACACAGGCACCCGACAGGCAGGGCTCTGGGAAGAAAGCTCTGCTATGAAATGTCACATTTTGTAGGCACAGGTGTTCTCTTATAAGCCTCTCAGGGGGACTCCAAAGAGGTTAGGAGCCTCTGCCCTGGGGCCCTCTCATGTGCTTTCAGGGTTTTAACTTCCTTCAAAGCTGTTATCAGGAGCCTAGATCTTTGCTTTTTAAAATATTTTATTTATTTAGTTTTAATTGTGACCTGAGGATTTTTTCCCCCATTGATTTTTTAGAGAAAGAAATAAAAGGGAGGGAGGAGAGGGGAGAGAAAAACATTGATGTGAGGGACTGGAGTTGGGATCAAACCTGTAACTGAGGTACATGCCCTTAACCAAGGAATTGAGAGACCCTTTAGTCTTTGGGCCAACACTCTAACCACTGGGAAACTGGCCAGGGTGATTTCCTTAGCTTTTACTTTATATTTTAAAGAATCTATGAATATTTATTTTATATATATATATATAATTGATTTTTTTTTTACAGAGGAAGAGAGAGGGATAGAGAGTTAAAAACATCAATGAGAAAGAAACATTGATCAGCTGCCTCCTGCACCCACATCCTCTACTGGGGATGTGCCTGCAACCATGGTACATGCCCTTGATCGAATTGAACCTTGGACTCTTCCGCAGGCCAATGCTCTATCCACTGAGCCAAATTAGTTAAGGCTATTCTTATAGACATGTCAAACTCAACATTTAAAGAAACCTCATTTAATCATCCAATTACCCAAAAGAGAAAACATGAATTGTCGTCAATGTCTCTGTCGGGTTTATCAGTCCTGCCTTTGACGGTTTTAGCTTCCTGATCCTCAATTCCTTGGTTTGAGTTCTGTCATTTCTCCCAACTCTGCCGCCACCATGAGTAGTACTTTCTAAGAGCCCTTGCTTCTTATCCTTGCTGCACCCCACTTTGTTCTAGTATCCCCATTAATCAGAGAGATTCCCAGTAAAATTTAGGACCAATTAGGTCACCTCTGCTCAAACCCGAGATGCTTCCCCCATCTTCAGGGGAGCTGGAGTCCAGCCTATGAGCCTTTGTGTCCCCCACTCCACCTGTCCCCTCCCCAACACTACACCAGCTGCAGACTCCAGCATTGCCTCTCCATTGCAGTTGGCATCACCCACCTGGGAGCTCTGGCTCCTGCTGGCCCCGCAGCCAGGAGTCTCTGCCCTCAGCACCTACTGGCTTGTGCCCTCATCTCCTTGCTTTGCCACTTTGTCTGAAGTTGTCCCCCTCTCCCATTGCTCCCATCCTCTTACTTTTCTCCTTAGCACTTATTGCTGACTTGCTATGTACTAGTAACTTATCCTTCTTGGTGACTGCCTGTCTCCTTACTAGACTAAACCCCACAGGGAGGGGTACTTTCTGTATTTTGCTCACTGCTGTCACTCAGTGTCTGGCACACTGTGGTACTCAGCAAGCACCTGCTAAATGAATTATTCCAAAAGCCTCCTGGTCTCCCTGCCAGCCACTCCATCTTCTGACCCATGCCTGCCTTACCACGGGGGTGAGTTCCTGTGGGTAGGTGGTGCCCTGTTCACCACTGAATCCCCAGCACAGAGCCAAGTACGTGGAAGGTATTCCATAGACACTGGTTCATCAGAGAAGGCCCAGACGCTACCTAATTCACCTACAGAGTGCTGACATTTGGATGCACTCAAGCATGCAGCAGCAGTAATGGAGTGCCTACTTATACTTGCTCTTTTCTATGTAATTTATTGATTTTTGAGAAAGAGAAACATCAATGTGTTGTTCCACTTATCTACACACTCATTGGTGGCTTCTTGTATGTTCCCTGACCAGAGATCAAACCTGTAACCTTGGTGTCCTGGGACAACATCCTAACCAACTGAGGCACCCACAGCCAGGGCTACTTGCACTTTCCATAAAAATTATGTTTTGTTTATTTTTAAAAATATATTTTATTGATTTTTTACAGAGAGGAAGGAAGAGAGATAGAAACGTCAATGAGAGAGAAACATCGACCAGTTGCCTCTTGCACACCCCCTACCGGGGATGTGCCCGCAACCAAGGTACATGCCCTTGACAGGAATCGAACCTGGGACCTTTCAGTCCGCAGACCAACGCTCTACCACTGAGCCAAACCGGTTTCGGCTGTTTTGTTTATTTTTAATGTTGCTTTAATAGAGAAGCTGACCCAAGGGAAGCCGCATGTGCTGTTGAGACTATCCTGTGTGCCTCATGGGCAAGGTCCCCTGACCCTTGACCTTAGGCCTGACTGCAGCACCGAGAGGAAGCTGAGGTCCCATGGAGCTGTGCTCGAAGTCAGAGGGGCGCAGAGGGTTGCGGAGGAAGCAGGCGGCCCCACTCCCCAGCAGACAAACAGAAGTGACCTCAGGGAACAGGTGGAAGTTCTGAAGCCATAATTTATTCCAAGTGCACGTAGGGGTGTGGACAGTGACCTCAGCAGAGACACATTTCCAAGCAAGTCATAGCTGCTCAGTCTCCCAGCCCCAGCCCCTCCCTTGCCACCTCTCTGGCCTGAGCTGGGGCAGGGC